GATCGAACCCTGAAACAACCTCTTGGCTGATCTAAGTCAGGGCACGACTAACTCACAGATAGAACCCTGAAACAACCTCTGGGCTGATCTAAGTCAGGGCATGGCTAACTCACAGATCAAATTGGTATTAAGGTATAGTTTAGTGCAAAAACACCCTCTGGAATTTTGACAATTTGAATTTTGGTCGCTAAATAGATATTCTACCGTAATCCGTAGCATTAGAAAAATTTCAGTCATGATATTTTATTGTCCTATAGATGCGACAAACGAGCAAGCTGTTGGTGAAGAGACGACGACAGAAGGGTCCCATGACAGTTCAACACAGAGCCAAGATACCCAGCCACCTAACGACCAACCAACTAGTGAGGCTGATCACGATCATGTACCAGCCAATCAGGATCAATCTAAGGATCTTGACAACCAAGATGACACCTTGAGTGACAGCACTAACACGCTGGGGAACCGCGAAAATGGTATGAAGAGATTTCCACTGAACAGCTGAAGTTAGAACAACCCTTTGATAGGTTAAAACAATTCACATAGTCATTAAAAAAATTATTATACAGCTTCTCATTAATCCCATATAGGTAACTGTCCAATTATTTTCTTAATTGGACAGGTCTTGTTGATATGGGATTAATTAGGCAGCTATATAATTAATAGGTAATGGGATTTCATGCTCCCCAATCAAGAAATAATTAGACTCGAAAAATTCCTCTGACTGCCAAATTGGACTCGGCCTACGGCCTCATTGAAATATCGATATGCAAATGAGATGACGTAAATTCAATAATAGGTTACATTTTGAAGTGTAATTTACGACAAGTGTAATAACTTAAAAGTGTACAAAGTCATATATTTCAGTTATAAGGATAATTTGCAAATGAAAAAACAGCAGTACTTTCCACAACAGCATTTTTGTATGATAAATTAGTCTTGAATTTACGTCATCTCATTTGCATATTGATATTTCAAATGTTTATATCTGCGAAAAGAGAAGACCCCATACAAAAATACTGCAACCATACTACTACACTGTTCACATATAAGTGATTTTGATAATAAAATTTTTTTCCTTGATATACACTTTAAGAAAAAAAACCAACTGTTTTTATTTTTCAGCACACGAAACCGTCCAGAAAGAAAAAGTGATTTCAAAAACACCAAAGACAAAACCATCAGACAGGAAAAAAACTACAGCAGCAAAAACAGCCAAAAGGTAAGGTTGTTCTTAAAGGAAGCAAGCATAAATGAATTGGTTAGAGCATATTAATCGTGCATTCTCAATAGATACGCTTTCTGTTTCAGCATGTCAACTGCAAAAGCTGGCAAGAGATCTCGACAAAAAATGTAAGGCATTTTAATTTACTATTCTTTGTTTATAACCTTTTGTTTTCTAGTTTTTTTAACCCTTTATGTTTATTCATTCTCACTTCCTCACTCCTTTTTTCCTTGACTTTCTCTTTTCTCGCATTTCTTCTTCCCCATTCTTTCTTTCCTTCCTTCCATCCTTCATTCCTTCCATTCTTCATTTCTTCCTTCGTTCCTTCCATTCTTCCATCCTTCATTCCTTCCTT